AAAGGATACTGTATTCTAGGTCATTTCCTTCTTCCAAAGCACATATGAACCCTCCTTGACAGCTCCCTTATCAACTGTTGGTTATATTAATTGCATTTAAATAACTGCCCAGCTCAGAGCACTGAGATAAAAGTTTAAGATTTTTCCAGAGACTGAAAACAAACCGTTGATAAGGCAGCCAAAGGCCATTGAAGTTCTTCCTTTGCTCAGTGTGAGCTTTATGTTGCGAAACACAGTTGCATCATATGTTAAGTAATAAAAGATGCACAGAGGGACTTGTTCCTCAATAAGACTGTAAAATAGGCTAGGCTTCAACTCAGGGTATTTTTTGTATAGCAGTAGGAGTAGCAGGAGAAATCATGTTTATATATGACAAAACTTTGTTGGGGGAAAAAAAGCTCTTTTCATGCTATCTCCAGTCCACTGTGCCTTCTCTTCATCCATCCATCATCCTGCATGGTAACGTAATACTGCCAGCACTATTTTTATAGCCATAAAAGACATCCTTTTTCTGTGAGCTTCACTCTTGTCAGAATAAAAGCCAAGCACTAATAAAAGCTGTTATTTTCTTAGCGATGTAAATTAACTTCTACCAGTAGAAGACAGACTGTAAATTCAGAGTTTCCCCCACAACACTTTGCTGTCTGCATGTAATATATTTAATAAATCAAAGATAGGAAGTTGTGAAAAGAGGGAAAAGCAAAATTGACTTTCTGTATTTTCCTTCCCATGAAGTGCACAGGTATGTTGTATGTCTTGTTTTGTCCATATATTGCAATCTTTGTGCAGTTTGGCATCAGTCCTGCTTTTGCAGCTCATATTGGTGATACTTCTTTGATTGTTGTGGGTAAGAGGGCAAGAAAGCTGTTTGAACTGGGGGACTGGTGGATTAAAGAGTGACATTGTGCTACCCTGAGTGGCTGTTAGATATATAGGAATTACATTCCAAGTGAATCTTGCTGAATAAGAATGGCAGCTATGTAGATCTATTTTACAGAGATATAAATGAATGCAGAGCTTGCAGAAGAGCACAGAATTAGGCCTAGAATTTCCCAATCTGGTCTACTAAGCAAAGAAACAGAAAAAACAGGTCTGCATATTTATCTTGGGAATATTCAGTTGAAACGTTTTTAGTTGAAGGACAAAGTTTCTGTTCAGACCTTGTTTCTATTCCAGCTTTGACATAGCCGACAGACTTAAGCCAAGAATTTTAGTAATGGTGTTTCCTGAGATCTGAACTTTTTTAGTTTGAGGGAACATCTGGCTGCTTGTGAGGTTGCAGACTTCGTTTTATTTTTCTAGGGTCAGGGCCTGCCAGAGCATTCTTTTGTGCAATCTTGGAAAAGAATCCCCATACTCCTTTACAAACAAAGTTGTTCCTGGCTGCCATTATCATTCTTGCTGTAGACAGGATCAGGATGTGATGCTGGGGAAAATTAACAAGCAATTCATTAGGGTGGACCAGAAATTGAATTAAATTGTCTTTGTTTAAAAAGTGGGACTCAGCTACTTGTGTGGGAGAGGGTGGTGACAAGCTCTCAATATTTGGGAGGGCTTTGTGAAGGAGAGCTGACCACATAAACCTGGGGTTGGGAACGGTTGACTGACAATGCTTTGTGTGACTATCTGGGATATCTGGATACACGTAATTATTTAAAGAATACTTAAATCTAGTATTTTTAAAGTTTTAAATTTTAACTGAGCTAAACTGCTGTAAGTTTTCTGGAATGGTGAGAGTTCTGTCTTTGGTAACTTACTGAATAAAACTGATTTTGATTTTAATTTTGTACCAAAGCCAGTTCTAATGATGGGTCCTTGATGAATGTAACTAAATAAAATTTTATTAATGGCTATTTTCTGTAATTGGTTTGTTTCTTCAAGTATTTCTGTTAACTAAGAGATTCTGCATGCATAATGGGAGCAACTGGGGTAAAAGTGTCCAAAATGTCCCCTATAAATAATGCCATTTAAAGTCTATATTCTAAATTTCTTTTCAACCACAGCTTCAATTGCAGCAGAACATCAGACTTGGATCGCCTCCTCTTGTTATAACTGGAAAGAAACTGGAAGATGCAGGTGCTGTTTCTGAAGATGATGGTTTACCTAGAAGCCCTCCTGAAATTTCAACCCTTCATGATGTTCTGACAGACTCACCAAGCAAGGTACAATCTTTATGTCACTTTAGTGACCACCTGTACAGAAAAGGTAAAATCTGCTTGAAGAAGGGGAAGACCTTTTTGCTTCCTTGTGATAAAATCTGATGGTACAGATCAGTCAGAACTAGAACAAATTACCTAGGTGGATTGTGGACTTGTCACTGTGAGGGATACCTAGGAAGCAGCCTTACAAATACCCTTTCTGAGCACAATTTTCTATGCTTTTATGTAGACCAGTGCTGGGGCAGTTGT